GAGAAGGAAAAAGAATCAGAAAAGAGAAATGTGTTAGTTGGAATTCGATTTGACGGCCATATTAGAGAGTTGTTGAATTGGGCTATTGTAAAAGTTGCAAATCCTGGAGATAGGGTTATTGCTCTACATGTTTGTCGAAATGCCGGTACATTAAATTTTTTACTTGTTTTAATTGAATTTGCTTTGTTTCTTAACTAAATGTTGTTGTCTTGACATTGTTATTGTACCTTATCATTTCAGATTCAATTGCAAAAGATAAATCTTTGTTGGACACTTATCTGGACGATTACGATGGCTTATGCAATAAAAAGCAGGTTGTTTTTTTTTTCTTTTTTTTTTCTTTTCTTTCTGGTGATAAATACAATTGAACTTTCTCTAAATTGTTTGTTGTCTTTTTGGAATAAAAAAGCCACCGATTGTGATTGATGTAGGTTTGTTTTTGGTTGGGAATTTCAGGTGGATATTATTTCTCTGGTGTTAAAAGGAAGTTCAATTAGAAGAGTTTTGGTAAGAGAAGCAAAGAACCATGCTGCAGTTGCTGTAGTTGTAGGAACCAGCAAACATAGTACTCTTGGGTAAGTAAAGCTACTGGCTCGACTAATCTGGATTCACGTCCTACTAGAAGTTTTTGGTTATTCTATTTTTGATTCATCGTGTATCGTACTAATTTAATTTGAAAGGGACTTGTGTAGGAGCTGGATCTCAATTTCTAAATATTGCGCAAAGCGGCTTCCTATCACTACTGAGATTATGGCCATTGACAATGGGAAGGTTTTCTTTAGAAGAAGCTCTAGTTCCCAACTCAAAGGTTTGATATTGCTTTCAGATTGCACATTTATGAGCTTATTTTTCTCATTTTGTATAAGAAAAAACTGAATTTGTTCTGTTTTCGGTGAGATTAGGTTCTTTTGGTGATCCAAAACCGAGTCTTCAATCAGAAAGAAGTTCTACTCTAAGGGATTGCCTAACTGAATTTGGTGAATCTGAGGTGCCTGAAATGGGAAGATTCAGTTATGAAGTGAGTAATACTGAGAATCCAAAAGAGGAAACTGTGAGTTCTTTGGCGAAACACAAGAAAAATTCTCTTTCACTAGGTTCAATTTCTCTTCCTACCGAAGATTTTGCTACTGATACTCCTGGTTGGCCCCTTTTACAAACCACGAGTTCATTGAATCAACCGGCTAAAATAGAAAGAAAAATGTCGGTGGTGCAATGGGTGATGACCTTGCCAAATCGATCTATGTTAGATAGTCCTAAATCCGATTTTTCTCCTAAGGAGACGCCAAACGCCTTTGGGATGGAAAAAAACTACGTGGATTGTAATAAAAAGGAAGGTGCATCAGTTTGTAACCAGCTGATAAAAGATTTGCAGCTTATACTTGAGGCAAATTCATCAGGTTGCAAATGGTTTAGCTATGATGTTTTAAAATCATCGACTTCTAACTTCTACTCGGGTTGGTTTTTCTAGCTTTTATCTACACTTCATTCTCTAAATTCATTTTCTTCCTAAACATTGGAAATTTTGTGCAGAGAAATTGATTGGAAAAGGAGGGCGCAACAGTGTATATAAAGCTCAGCTTTCTGATGGAAAATCAGTGGCAGTAAAGATTTCCAGTTCATCAGAGGAAGCGCGAAAAGATTTCAGGCAGGAGATGGATATTATGACAAGAGTTAAACACAAGAATATTGCTAATCTACTTGGAATATGCATAGAGGATTCCCATCTGATATCTGTTTACAATTTTCTTTCACAAGGGAATTTAGAAGAAAATATACACGGTAAGCTGCAAAACAAGAATTTATTTCTGTAAAAAATAAAACATCCAAGGTATTCTATTAATGCTCGGTTAATTTCGAATGCAGGAAGAAGCAAAACAGTTTTGCAATGGGAAACAAGATTCAGAATAGCCGTCGGAATTGCGGAAGCCTTAAATTACCTACACAATGAATGTCCAAGGCCTGTTATTCACAGAGATGTTAAGTCATCAAACATCCTTCTCAGTGATGATTTTGAACCACAGGTGTGCTTGTAAAACTAACAGATAGGACAGTTATTTCATTATTGTACATTAAACAAGATCATTAATTCGTTTAGGATTTAAGTGATGATTTTGAACCACAGGTTTGCTTGTCAAACTTACCTGTAATTATCTTATAATTGACTTTATTGTGTAAATATTTTGTACATCGTTAATTCATAGAACTTAAACTCGCTGGTCAATTCTCCTTTGCAGCTATCGGATTTTGGGTTAGCAATATGGGGACCCACAAAGGCATCCTACTTGACTCATAGTGATGTGGTGGGAACCTTTGGTTATCTAGCGCCGGAGTATTTTATGTATGGGAAAGTAAGTGATAAGATTGATGTCTACTCCTTTGGTGTGGTTCTGTTGGAACTATTATCAGGGAGAAAAGCTATTGGCTTTGAGACTCCCAGTGGCCAAGAAAGTTTAGTCATGTGGGTAAGCATCTGTACTTTGACAATAAGACTTCTAGTCCAAATTACAAACTTTCATTTGTCACTTCATCTAAGTTTTTTGCTAAAATTATTTTCCAGGCGAAACCTAAGTTAGAAAGTGAGGATATTAAAGCAATTCTGGATGAGAATTTGGATGTGAATATTGAAGATGATAAAGTCCAAAGAATGATTCTTGCAGCAAAACTCTGTCTTACACAAGCAGCAAGGCTACGTCCTAACATAAACCAGGTAACTACAATTCATTGCAGCTATTCCACGGGCGGATCTACCATGTAAAACATGGTTCACGTGAACCCGTGGTCCTCAGGTTAAAGTATAGATATGATGTACATAATTTGGCAAAAATAGAGATATATATTTGATGCAACCCATGGTCAAAAGAGACCAAATGGTGCACTGATTTTGATCTCTTATTTCCAATAGCCTAAGGTCCCGGGATCAAATCCCCTTTAATTTTTTTTAAAAAAAAGTAATAGTGCACCCATCCTCCGGAAATCCTAGATCCGCCTCTGAGCTATTCCCTTTAGAGTTCGTTTTGTTTGAATTATAAGAAACTTTACTCTCCGTGTAAAGATCCGCAAGTATTACTAATTCAACGTCCAGTTTTCGGTCTAATATCTTGTAGCGGTGTTTATGAAAATCAAGCATTGTAATACTAATTCTGGTGTAAATTATATGGGAATTTATGCATTTTCTTATATGGGATAGGATGTGGGACAAGAATACATGTATTAGCAATACATAGATAAGAGTATCTAAAGACAAAAAATTCCATGTATTATTTTTCACCCTGCATTATAATTTCTATATAACTGGACCGCAAACAAAACGACACCTTAGATTGTAACCCCATGTTGTTATTTGAGTAGATTCTGAAGATGTTGAAGGGGGAGAAAGATAGGAATGAAGAAGCTAATGCCGGAAGTGGTGAGGATCATAACAATATAGAAGAATATAATGATGATGAAGTATATCCAGATTCAAGTGCAGAGTCCCATTTAAGTCTTGCATTACTTGATGTGAATGATAATTCCACATCTTTCAGCAGCAGTCAGGATCAAAGCAGCCCTCTTTCTTCTGTTGATGAATACTTGAGAAAAACATGGAGCAGATCCTCAAGCTCAGAATATTAGTAGTAGCTTTTACTACAAACTTTTGCAAATCTGTCATTGTGTACAGTTGGAACAGGAAAAAATGCACCCATTGTTGAGGTGATTAGATTTAATAGGAACAAGAACTTTGGGATAATAGCAAGAAAGTTGTCAACCCCACAGATCTTTTGCAATTCTGTGGATCGAACTGCTGTAATAAAGTTCATTATCTTTTTTTGCTGCTTTTGAAAGTTTAATTTTGGCAGAGGTTAAGAAATCAATAATTAATTATGTGTGGGTTTAAATCGTTACTACCTTTTAAAGCGAACAACAGTAGAGAGGTTAACAATTAATAGTGAATCCATTTAATGATTAGAAAGAACCCTAAATAGTACCCCTCTGTCTCAAATGATATGTCGTGATTTCTAAAAATAGTTGTCTCAAATTATTTGTCATTTTAAAGGTTAAAGACAAAATAAGTTATATTTTTCCTATTTTACCCTTAGTAATTATTGTTCTTCAAAATGGAGATATTAAATAAATAGAAGCAGATCGTATCTTAAGATATACACCCGGTGTTTACCCGCACCGGGTGTTTACACCAAACTATATTAACTCACTATGGTTAATTAATTTAATTAGATGAGAATACATGTAATTTATCATGGTTAAATGATTGAAGTCCATATGCAGGACACATTATATATCTATTGGTTTGGTGTAAACACCCGGTGCGGATAAGTTTTTACCCTCGTAAATAATGTTTCTTAAGGGACTTGTGAAACGAAACTCTGCAACTATTCGAGATAGAGGGAATACGTAGAAAGAATATACCATTGTCCTTTTTCTTTGTGTAAACTATTCTTGCAATTCTCATTAATATATTCTTCCTTTTACTTCAAGGATTAGAAAATTGTGAGCATATATCTTAGTTAAATACTCAAATTCAAAAAATTTCGCGAGGTATTGGCTAGTTAGTAGCAAGGAGATGATATCTAATTCTCAATCACAACTTAATCAGGATCACTTGATTGTAAAAGGACGATTCGATGCACAAGGTATCCCGTAATTACACAAATCGCGAAAGGATCTAGATCACTTGATTGTGTTCCCATAAAAAGGTGCTAACTTTTAGGAATAGAAATCAAGTTGCAATACAATTTCTTTCCTACTAGAATACTTTTCTTATATTTAACCTCATATAAGGAACATAACCACAATTTAATAATTTCATACCAAGATCATAATTTTAAAACAATTTGAATATTTTATTAGTTAATGTCAATAACACAACAGCCCAAAGAGTAACAAACGTACGAAACTTGAAAACATGCCCTAGAGCCCTAGTGAGTCCAGCCCTAATATTGAAAACTTGCCCTAAAGCCATACTATATTAGAATTCTTTTGTTTCTCTTTCTCCATGATCAATTATGGAGAAGCATTGTGTTGACGACATAGTATTCCAGATCCTAACATGGCTCCCCACCAAGTCTCTCATGCGATTCAAGTGTGTTTCTAAAACTTGGAACATACAACATGATCCCGACTTTGTCAAATTGCACAATGCTCGTCCCTCCACCACCCGTCTCCTTTTGTTTGAAGTAGAAGTATGTCCTCGTAGGGAAGACGATCTTTCAATAAAAAAGAAAAGACCAGAATTAGAAAGATTTTCTGTACAACTACTCGCGCCTCGCCATTATTTCAACTATTATCAAATGAGTGTTTGCTCCAATTATTGCAATGGCCTTGTTTGTTTGTATAGCTTTAAAGATACTCAGACTTATTTGTATAGTGTCACCACAGGAGAGATAAAAGCTTTGCCATTCTCTATGAATCAAGAAATTCAGGCTCAATATCCATTGGATCCTCAACTTTTTCTGGGATTTGATTCGATAACGGAAAAATACAAGTTGCTTCATATTTTTGTGGGAAAAAACAATGGTAATCGAGTAATTAAGACTAGAATTCGAACTCTTGGAATCGATTCTTCCTGGAGAAAATTCCATATGCCGTCTAATTGTTTTCTTAAGCCTAAGATATGTATTTTCCTCAACGGGGTTATTTATTCAACTGATTATTCATTGAATTGTATTTGTATCTACTACTTCAATTTCAGAACGGAGAAGTTTGGGAGACTTTCCCCAAAATATTGCAGTTACATTCGCCTAAATAAAATGCAAACTGCACTACGGGGAAAACTGGTTATACATTGCTGCTTCAACCATAACGGGAGACGTGAAAATCGCAATTTGCTATACGATGACATTAACAATGTTTTTATGAAATTGAAGAACTCTAATTATCCTAATTCGCAGGAGAAGGTTGCATTGATTGAAGCAGAAAGGATTGACAAGATGACGCTATCAGATGTTTTATTAGCAGAAAGTATAACATAACATAGGAGCAGCATGTGCTTCGGCATAGAGAACATCTCGAACACATCTCCGATTTTATTTCTAAGATCAGAAAAGAAAAAGGAACAAGTGGTAAAGGAAAAGAAAGAAATCAGATGAGTAGATGCTTTTGAAAGTTTAATACTAATATAACATCAGTACTCTATTAGGAGACTTGATATTGATTTCTCAAAGAGCCAGGTTGATATATTCTAATCTTCGAGAAGAATCCCTTACCTTCTGAAACAAAAGGTTATGACTTTACGGGAAAGAAATCAAAGTTGTAATACAATTTCTTTCCTATTAGAAAACTAAACTTTCCTTTGCTAAATTTAACCTCATATATGAAGGAGTAGATGTTTAACCAAAAATCGGGATTTCGGCCAAAGCTTATTTTAGAAGAACTCGAGCTAATAGAAATAAGAATAATTGATAAATAACAGCTGAATATAAAGCAAAGTAAATCAATATATTCTAATAGTATTTCGTGTCCTTACAAATGATTAGTCTTCTCCTTTTATAACTATCTCTAGGTAATACGTTTTGTTTCTATTATTATAGAGTCATTATTGATAATTAATAACATTTAATGTAACGTTATGATTGGTAATCATATTTGATTCAATACAGATTCTCTAACATTTTCCGTATTTAATGCCTATTAATTATACATATCTATACCCTTTTTTGCTATCAGATTCATTCTCTTAATACGACCTTCGAACATCAAGAGGTTTGAGCATCTATCCTTTCTACTTTTTCTTGAATCTCTGCCCATGCCTATTGAAGCTCGTGCCTTTTTAATTATTCTTTGCCAATTGTCATCCTTTGACCAGTCCACGTGCCATGACGTGTCACCTTACAATCAGTTCTATATACGAACTTAATTTTTTCCAATACAAATAGTCCCCCCACTTGCCATTTATTCATCAATAGAATATTTGGGAAGTGGATCTCATTAAAGCGGGAATTTTTGCCGCCATTAATTCTTCTATGGAACTAACGCATCATCTGTCACTTCCATTTAATGTCCGTGACACGTGGCATCTCCTGTTTGGTTCTGCAATTTTTCAGCATCTTTTAAGGCTTTTTTACGGTTTCACCAATTACGAAACGACAGTTCTCATTATGACGTTTTCATCATTGCACCTTTTCCTTTGACGGTTGCTTCTGACTATAAATATAACTTTTCACCTATGTCTTTTTCACAAAAGGTTTAGAATATTCAATTCTTGTTTTCTTCTTCCTCGTACTACTATGTCTTCTTCAAACCCTAACCCCTCGGAGAATCCCCATCGTTGATAACCTTCTTCTTGCTCTTGTTAGAAGTAGGAGAGGAGGAAAACTTCGTAGTTTAGGATCTTCATCTTCACGAGGTCCTTCTATTCCTTCAATGAGTTCTACTCCACCTTCTAGAACCAGAGGTTCTCTTTCTCAAAGATCTTCATCTAGAAATAAAGAACCCACTGAACCTCTTCGTACACCTTTAGTAGATGAAATTGTTCCTGTTGAACTATCTTTTTACAATGATAGAGAGTCCATCAGAAACCAAGTTTCTTCTATGTCTTCATTAGATCGTGCCGACATTTACCCGACTCAAATCACTGAAGGTTTGATTTCTGTGGTTCGTAGAGATTGCCAGTGGAGTCATGATTTCCCTAATATAATCCCCAATGCGAACCAAAGAATCACTTCTTACTTGACTGGGTTTTCTTTCGTATATACATACCCTTTCACAGTGAATTTCAAGCCTACTATTGACCCTGTTATCATCGAATTCTGTCGCTTTTTCGATATTTGCTTAGGACAAATTGGCCCCATCGTGTGGAGGGCTGTTGCTTTTTTGAGGCATTTGGCCAACATGGCTGGCATGCCTTTTACTTTCTTCCATTTAATCCATCTTTATTCTCCCAAACTCTTCCGTCAAGGAGTTTTTACTTTAGTAGCGAGAAGTAAAAAAGTTCTGGTCAGCCCAGAGGACGATAAGGACAGTGGCTGGTATGCCAGATTTGTTGCTTCCCCCACTGTTGATTTAGTGGATGAAGAGAATGTTCCATTTCCTGAGAAGTAGAATTTTGCGCGTGAGTTTTCTTTTTTGTAACTTTCCTATACCTTTTTCTCAATTTTGATGGTTATCATTTTAACTTCCTCTTCTTTTTCAGCAACCATGGGAACTGTGATGAGATTTCCAATTTCCGTGGTTGGGTAGGAAAGTTGTTAAGTGTTGCTCCGATGGAAGGTAGATTCTGGAAAAATCTTTCTCATCGGTTTGGTTGGAAAGTGAAAAATCACGGTAAGTGCTTTTTCCTTTATATTCTTTGTTCACTTCTTTCCTTAGAAATTATTTTGATCCTTCTTTTTGTCAGGATTTTCCATTTGAGGCATAATCACTAAGGCCGTTGTAGCTTTCAAAATTTCTTTGGAAAGAGCCCAGGAAATAATTTTGGGTTCTTCATCGAAACGGAAAGCTTCTGCTGACCAAGACTCTGAAGAAGAGGAAGAACAAGACGGGGGTTCTTTGATAAAAAGGCCACGAGCTAGAAGATGCATTATTTCAGATAATGAAGCATCACCCCCTCGTTCTGTTCCTCTAACCGAGCCTGTTGAAGCCACGTTGGTGATTTTCGATGACGATACTCCCGCGGCTACTCGTGATTCTGTTGATCAGCTTTTTGCTCGTGGGTTTGGTAATGAAAGTTTGGGTCCAATTTCTGATGAAATGCCCCTTGCCTCATTTCCCATGTCCACTCCTGTGACATCTTCTCTTCTAGTTATGACTGTTGTCATTGCTGCTCCGTCCCAAACTGTTTTGACTCCTTCCACAGTTCCTCCTACAATTGTTCATCACACTGAAGTTGGTTCCTCAAGTGGAAGTGGAGCTATAAAACAAGTTGTCATCGAGGTTCCTGCCGATGGTAATTTTTTGAGAAAATCAAGTCGGGCTGATGTGTGGTTGAAACCTCTGATTGGTCCAATCGAGAGATCCAAGCTTGAGAGTCACAACTCTTTGACTTGGATGAATGACATAGTGCAGTCATCATTAAAGGTATTCCTTCTAATGCTTTATTATTCCTTTCTTTTATTAATGTTCTTACCCTTCTTCTTTTTTTAGATCAACCTTGTTGGTACAGAAATGATGAAGAGGGTTTCCCACACGGAGCAGTTAATGCACGATTACCAAATTGAAGCGGACAACTGGAGAGAACAATATGAAAGCCTTCAAATTGATATGGAAGTGTTAGAAGAGAGCAAGCGCACCTTAGAGCAGCAGTTGAAGGTTTTAACCTCAGAGTTGGCAGTTGAAAAGGCTTCCTCAAATCAGGCTGGCAAAGACAAGAATCTCCTCGAAACATCTTTTTCCGAGCAATTCTCCAAAGCTAGTGAAGAGATGAGAGAGTTGAAGGCTTTGTTAAGTGAGAAAGAAGTATATGTTGGTGAACTTGTGCAAACTTTGACTCAGACTCAAGAAGACCTCTGTGAATCTTCTAATAAGGTCGTTCCTTAGAAAGTTCACGTGCTTCTCTTCAAACTTCTTACGATTCTGCCTTGGCTGAGAATGAAAAGCTCAAAAGTAAAATTGATCAATGGGAGAAAGATTACAAGATTCTTGAGGACAGGACCGCAATTGAAGTGAGTTGGGCATTTTTAAATACTCGCCATGATACACTTGTGGAAGCTAGCTAAGAGGGCTTTAACTTGGAGGCTGAATTAGCTAAGATAAAAGAAACTATTGAAAAGACTCAGCAAGGCCAAGACTTTCCCTCTCCCATGGCTGATACTTCTGAACATATTGAAGATGATATGGGTACAGTGAATGTTCCAACTCCTTCAAGCCAACTTGAATCTACTGCTGCTGGTGGCCCTGCTTCGGCTCCTTCTTCAACTCCTCAGTGACAAGTTTTAAGGAATGTGACTCTTTTTTTTTTCTTGTTTTTTGGTGGAATGTAGTTATAACCCTCGGTCCCATTTGGGGGTTTAGTTTTTTGAAAACAACAAGTCCCCAGACCTTTTCGGGGCATTTTGTATAAATGACCAATAGTTTATGACTAAGTTCATACTTGGTCTAAACTTTTCAACATTAAGAAGTTTTCCATTTTGACTTAGTTATTCTGAGCTTCTGTTTTGCTCATTCTTGCCTTTATATTCAAGGACTTATTAAATAATTTGCACTTTTATTTCATAAAATATTTTCTTAACTTCATGAATGTTTAAATCAAACATGATTTTTATAAAAGAAGGCCCTTTTATATTCGACACTTAATGAAGAAGACGTCTCAACTTCATAATGGTGTAAATGTACGACAAAAGAAATAGGAACACACATGTTTCTTGAAATAACTTTGATAAAGTTTTCATTTGAACTTTGTCAAGTTTAAATAACATCTTTATAACTTTTTCGTAACTATTTTCTTTACAATATATTTCAAAAAAGGAAATAAAATACAAGGTTTTTATTTATAACTCGTTTCTATACATTGTCTTTAACCTATATATGATAAGGTTTTCTTTGGATTTATGTTTATTGGCTCGTAAGTTTACCGTGCACTTGATTCATTCAATGAGTAGACTTTTCGGGCTTTGACTTGAACTTTGATTATTTCTCAGTCTTTTTTGCCTTCTTTACATATATGTCCTATGTATACTATATATTTTTATTTTCTTTTGGTTCTTGAATGGAATCGGGCCTTGATTCCACATCTGTTCGCCCATGTTCAGTTGAGGCTTGTGTCGTAGTATCCTCAACTGGATTCTGTAATTGCTACTTTTCTTCGTTTTTTGTACTTGAATCTGCTAAAGAGTTGATGCTCTTGGATGTCTGTTGATCCCCACGGATTTGACGTATTCCCTATGGTGATGAAAATTTAATAACTTGATGTAAGGTAGACATCACATCATCCATCTCGTGAATCCACAGTCTCCCGAGAATTATATTGTAAGCCATTTCCATCTCAACCACCTGAAATTTCGTATCTTTGACAACCCCTTCTGCGAATGTGGTAAGT